CTTTTGACAAACATCTAAGCTGATTAAATTTAATTTAAAATGTCAGAGAACACTTTAAATTACGATTCAATTTAGTTGTTTTCACACACACACATAAGCTAGAGTGTGAAAACTAAGATTTAACTCTCTTCATTTTTAGTCCCTAATACACGAAAGTAGGAATTTGAGAAGCTTAACATTGGTTGATGAACACATTGAAGGCAAGTGGACATGCAAGAATTAAACTGAAAAATAAACTTGAACAGAACTTAAATGAAAGACCTGAATGATGATAATTGTAACAACAACACTATGGCAATGCTGTATTTTTGTCGAAACATGTCACTTTGATTCTATTGTAGTGAGAGGCTATGCAGAAAGGAGATCCAATACAATGTCAGATAATCCCACTGATTGATTTATTAGCTGCTAAGGTAAAAATTGATGTGGAGGGAAGCATATACAGAAATTCTGTTATTTATGTAGAGATTGTAGTATTAATGTGTTCCATTTCCATTTGCTATAGTTGTAGTTTTACTCTCCTACCTTTATTCCTAACTTTTTGGCCTAAAATATTTACCATATTTATAACATTTTGTTTTATTGCTGACTGCACCAGTATTGTTTTTTTGTTAAATGTGGAATCTAAGACCTGATTTTATTTTTCTTCTGAGTCTGAATGACGTCTATATTATGCAGATTATGTTAGTAGACCTGAAAGATCTTCAGTTGTTGTAGAGGAATTCGTACAGCCTAATGCCAGGGAAATGACTAAGCAAACATTAGTCTGCATCTCAGTATTAAGTTTACAAGTCTGGACAGTCTGACTGTGTGAGACTCAGGGAAAGCATTTGAGAAGTATTAGCTGTTTAGCTGAGTCTGTTATGTTATATAGTAAGTGTACGTTTTTGACAGTGCAGAGAGGAAATTCATGCTAATCAGTGGAATGGAGCCTGGTGTAGTTCATTGATTGGGCTTCACAAATTTTTAGCCTTACATTGTAAAACATAATTTGAAAAATGCAATACATTCAAACATTTCTATAGAAAGAACAGTAATATTTTCTCTATAATACAACATACATTTTTTTTAACCACACTTCACTTCAAAGATAATTGATCTTACAGAGTTAAGACTTTCTATTTAGAGAAGTCAAACAGTAAGTTAATTTATAAGGTAACACCTTGAATGGAATATTAAATCTAAACTTGATTTTCTAACACTTGCAACACACTAAGACCTTGAGAGAGAGTTCTTTGATGTTTGAGATGATATGCGTAGTGCAATTTAAAGTTAAGGAGTTGTGTATCCAGTGCTGTCTTTTACTGAGAAAACTGGTTAACTCTTATCTTACTGAAGTAAGATATGTTGCTGAAGGAAAGATTAGAAGAATTGTCTTAGCCATCTGCTTTCAGAGCCCAATTCACTATGACCTTCACTTTGCCCTTGCTGTGTTGAGTTTAATGCATTTTTATACCGTAATGTGTAGGAGTATGAACCTTCTGCTTCTGCAAAACATTTCTTAAGAATGCAACTGATAAACTCTCATTTCAATTTTTACTGTATATGAATTTGTATCTTACCTTTTCTGTTCAATAGACATCCTAGCACTCAAACATGTGGGACTTAGTGCACAATCTACCTCTGCTTGTACTGCCTTATGAATTTCTTGAGAAAAAGCTGCGAATCATGTGGTAATTTCACTACGAGGACGGGTCATGTTTGTGATCAAATGTGCTGGGAAAAAAAAGGGAATATGCCAGAAATATAAAGCAGATAGTAATGTATTTCAAATGGATTTTTAAGTGTTTATTTTAAAACATATTTTATGAATATCTTAAATGTATAAAAGGTAAATGGCAGATGTGTGTAGCTATTTAGTTGGGTTTTTTTTATGAACTATATATGGGCAATGTTGACAGTACATGTGGGATTTATTACATATACCGTATGGAATTTACTTCTGAAAATTAACTGTTTTAACCTGTGCAAATGTAAAATCATACTGCTTAATGTATTTAAGTACCACTGTGAAACTTTTTTGTTACTGCAATTCATGAAGTGCTAAGGAAATCTAATCAATATGTTCCTCTGGGTTCAATAAAAGACAGATTGTTAAAATTAAAACAACTGTACATTACAAGCCCGCGTTTTAAAATAAAGGTAATGCTTATTTTATTTGATTTTTAAATTGCAGTGCTTTCTTCACACTTAGTCTTGTCATTTCTAAATTGTTGGAGATGATAAAAACCAGTATGTGCAATTTGCTAGTTAAAAGGTCCTTTTATTTCCTGCATTATGAAAGTGTTTCACGGATTAATCTGTCCGAGTACTCCAGCGCCTTGTTGTATTAAAGTGAATAGTGATTAGTTGAATGAGAATTCAGAATTGTGCAGCGGAGTAAATCACATTGAATACTCTAGTGCCTGGAGATTGATGATGAAGAGATCTAGTGACTTGCGTAAATTAAGTCAAGAGAAGAGCAAGTTGAAAGTAGGAGGACTGTGTCACGACCACCAGCCGCAGAGATCAACGCGTAAGCGAGCTAACAAGCGCCGCCGCACGAGTTAACGCACCTGCAATTGCTCTACCGTGCGGCACGCCAGGTTATTTATACTATTCTAACCTACTTCCCGTTGCTCGGTATTGATTAGCTCGTTTACGCGTTGATCTCTGCTGGCTGGTGGTCGTGACAGACTGTGCAGTTTCCTCTTAAGAGGGGACACACATGGAAGAGCGAGGGACCTGACGGGTGTCCGAAACAAAGACAGGCCCCCTTAAACGCTGGTGTCCGTCGTGCTTTCTTATGTCTTTTGTTTTAGTTTCACCAGCTGAAAGTAATGGAATTGGTTTCAGTAGCATCAGACGGGATCATGATATTTAAAAAAAAAAAAGAATACTCGCTGGTTTGTGCAAAATTAAACATTTTTTCATAGGCATTTTTTAAGTATAATGGATTTATGAAAAAAAAACGTTTTGAAACACCCTTTTAATATACCAGTTGTTAGCCTTATATATAAAGGAAATGCTAAATAGTTCTGAAAGCTAATTTTCACTCACACAATTCTGGTGTTCTGGTGTCACCCATTTCTCAGTCTTCACTAAATTAAGCATACCCAGGCACTGGAGTATTCAACCCAAATATCTGTTGCCCAGTACTTCGTATAATCTGCACTAATCACTTAAACACAACCAGGTGCTGGAGTATTCAATTACACTTACTCCATGTCACCCAATTGTAATCTTCTATTCGTCACTAGACACCAGCTCTTCAGCTCTTTGCCCCGTGCTTCAATCGCTGGAAGAGACTGTCAGCAAAGTGCTCCCCTTGGAAGGGGCTTTCAGTGTGAAGGAGGAGCTATCAGAGCCCAGGCCAAGATGACAGAATTAATTGGGCCATTCAGAGCAAAGGTGGGATGAAATTCCACAGACACTGTAGACCTCCAGGACTGATGCTGTGCTTCACTGTCCTAGAGACGATTTTAGGGATTTTTTTAAATCTGTAGAATCCGCTAAAACTTCTAAAAGTTTGAAGTTTACATTTTGTGTCACTAGCTCATTTTGTGCATTACACCTGAACCTCTTATTATGAACACAATTCATTCCCAGAAACCCTTTCGCATAGTGCAAATTCAACCATAGTGAACATTTCTTATGGGGAAAAATTACAATCCGTTCCAGGCCCCAAAAATGTCCTCTGCTTTTACGTTTTTTAACTAAAACATTAATAACTAACATTCAAACTGTGGTTATGTGTTTTAATAAAAACACCGTTTACCTAGCTAGACATAATTAATCATACATGTGTACAGTACAGCACGGTATAGCAACCACATCATTTGCTTTTGGTGTAATTACACACACACACACACAAAATTTTCATTTTCTTAACACCTTTAGGATATATAGGATCCATGATAAAGTCTAAACTACCATTACTTATATGATAAGAGCACACACAATAGTGATCAATGCATCAGGTCTCTCGGGCCACTCTGTAGCTCTCACCCAAACTAGCTAGAGGAATGTGATGTGTACATTCGCTAGGAAACAAGACTTTTGTCGCCTTCTCACTGTCTGCATTTGGCGGCGGTTTAGAAATCTTTCTTATCACTTCTTCGTATACTGATATACTGAGTAAAATAAGAATTTACAATCATTCAAAAAAAAAAAAGATTTTACTTACCAAAAGAGGGAGTACCCTAGTCTTACCCTGCTTGAGTCACAGTGATCCTCTGGTTACTGTTGCCATGATGGAGGGTGGCCTGTCTAGCAGAGCAGTTGGTGTAAGAATAAGATTCTCCTTCCACCATCAGGCAAGTTGAGAGGAACCAGGACACTGGCTCTGCGAGACAGGCCACAACTACCTGGGGCCATCATGTCCAACTGACTGACTGCGCCCTGAGCTGCATCTCATGCAGAACGTACTTCTGCAGGGAACTTCAGAAACATTTCAACTTAAAAGGAAGGAGAGAAGAAGATCTGCAAGGGAGATACACAGGGAGTGGCATTACTGTAAAAAGACTACCTAAACATCATTAGAACCAGCTAATTAAACGCTAGGAATACATGGAAGAAAATGCATTAGTGTGCAATGATAATATAACTGGAATCACTGAAACAAGGCACATTCAGCGTTGCGGTGATGAATACAAAGCTGGTTACAAACAATCAAGTCAGTCCCAAACAACCAGAAGACAGAAAACTGGCCTATAGAACACTAGGTTTCTATATCACTTCCCAGGAAAAAAAAAGTACCTATCCTGGCACCTCTCCATGGCAACCCTGGATCCTGTGCATCTCTATATCGTTTAAATAGAATATTCTATTGCTAGGATCCATGGAAAACACTGGAGGATGTAAGAGCTGCACAGAGCCGGTTGACCATATTTCAGGGGACCATAGCCCAGGAAGCTGGAGGAGGGAACGTCTTGGAGGAAAAGCTTTCCCACAAGGACAAGAAGTCACCTTCTTCCTTTAGACAATTACAAGCAGAGAGAGGGCTGGAGTGTTTCATTTGTTTTATTCAGTGTTTTATAAAGCTTTGCCCTCGACCGGGATGACAGATGATGTGGGTCCATCACAATGAGCATTAAAGTGACGACTGTGCCGTTCAAGGCCAGCAGGGCGGCAGCAGCAGCAGCGTGATGGTGGGTGAAGGAAATTCCTTTGACAAGAACAGCTGAGATGCAGATTGACAGAAATCAAATGACTTAGAAATACAACAGCAAAGTCCTTGAGCCTAGTTCTTCCATTTACACAAGGCAATTCATGTCCATTTCCCAGCAGAATAACCCAGGACCACAGTGGTTGGAGTACTGTATAATGGTGTCAAGAAAATGTCAAAGGCGTGTCATAGCCTGCATTTTCTCTTGATTTGAGGCACAATGGTGCCAATGCCTCCCAGCACACAACACCAGCTCAAAGGCTGTGCACAGAAAAAGCAACTGATCATCCCACAGCACTGATTCCAGAGGCTGTGGCGTGTTGTGGGTCGGCACTAGCAGAGGTCGATTCATGTTCAAAGAGGTCACCCCCCATACCTCTCAATGTTCTCATCTCAACAGTATATTTCATTCTGAAACCTTATCACGATTGTTTCATCCGCATTTTTGGTCACGATTGGGCGATATCGTGCAAATTCAAGTATTTCATTAAATGCCCAAAACAAATAAGCCAGGACTAATGCCTCACTGAGCACTGAGTTTATGCATAGATGTTTCTGGAAAATAAATATATATATATAAGATCTAGCAAATCATGTCGATTTATAACCATGATACATGGCTGAATAACTAGAGGGGAACTGCAGTCCCAATTTTTCAGACCAGTTATTAACAAATTAACTTTCTGTAACAAATTAATTGATGATATCACAATCTTGTACAAATTCCAAACTAAGCACAAAATCGAGTACTTTGTGAAAGTACTAGATAGTTGCCACGTTGTTGAAAACTCCTGGTCTCGCCACGGGTGAGTGTTCACACTTGGACGTGAAGCGGCCCTTCCTGGCTACTAGTCACTGTAATGAGTAATGTGATGCATTAAATTGCAAACCCGTGCGGGCAAATAAGCACAGGTTGTGCAGCAGAAATGTTTCAACATGATATACATGCAAAGTTAAGTAGTATGTGTCAGCAAAATGGTCTCAAAGTTGAGAGCAGTATTTCTACTGGATTAAAAGAAGGGTATTCAAAAGCCTGCTTGCTTACAAGGTAATAAGGCTGCTTCAGGTCACTGGAAGTTTTGTTACTTCGTCTTGAATCGCAGAACATGGCACTGTAAATACCTGGAAATGTAGTCTAATTTGTGACGTAAACAGGAGGTTGTACACATTACCGAGTACATTTTACTTTTATTGTGGTTTGAAAGGGCCACAGCATAAATTATTTCTAACCCCAAATATAAAAATCGCTTTGCGGTTCCCCTTTAAGGCAAATGACTATTACATGAACATTAAATAAACATTAAATCACCTCATAAGTGACAGTGGACTTGGCACTGAGGATGAGGATTTAAACCGTTACATATCAAACCTGCTTAAAAATCAAGAAAAACAGAACCCCTCCAAAGTATCAAAATGTTATATTTTTTGTTGTTCTTAACCAGCCATTTCCAACACGGCAACATGAATTGTATTTCTTTATAACATCGGTTACAGGCAACGAGGGAGACCATAAATCACAGCAAACCACTGAGATCGTTGGACCATGTAGGATTGTCTAGTTGCTATAGAACTTCATTCACAATGAGTGATACCAGCCTTACTGTACAGTGCTACACTGATCAAGCCCTGAGACCTCACCTACTGCTCTTCCTGCAGACAACACGTCTGGATACTGCTTGTGTAAATTATTTGCACGAGATGAGAACAATCATGTAATGGATGCCTTATTTAGCAAACTTGAGCTTTTTAAACAATTGTGGAAAACGCAGAAATGTGTTTCATTTTGGGGGTCAGAGACCAGGCACACAAAAAGTCTTAACTCCACAAGACACCATTGAAAGCTCAGTATAAAGCAAGAGCCACAGATGTACAGCTTACATTACACCTAACAAGTGCTCCATGCTATTAGCCTGTAAATTGCACTGTAGATCCTACCTCCTTTAAAATGTTAATCAACATAATATCATGCCCATTCAATAAAATGTCAGTATGCCAGAAACAGGATTGTTTTGGTCCCATTACTACTTTTATGAAATTGGTGAATTTCAAGTGATGTTTCAGATTCTCAGAATAAATTCCATCAAATATACTATAATTGGTAAAGGCAACATAATCACGTATAACACACAGAACAACACACTCGCAGTGTTGCAGATGTTTCTTGTCTTTTTCAATATTAAATTAATTTGAAAACGTGAAATAATACTAATGTCACTCCACTGTAAGGCAGAAAATTTTAAAATAGATTTTCCATTCTTCTACACAGTTGTTGTCTGCCAGTGTCAGATTTTGTCCATGCAGGCAACAGTTGTTAGTATTTTTTTTAATCAACTGCAATATACAATAAGTAAACCTGAAAATGTTGATCATAATTCTGTGTGCCACGTGTACGTGATCATCTCGTGTTTTGCTGTGCAAAAATTCGTTGCAAATTATCTTCTCCCTTGTTTAGGTAAAATCATGTAAAAAAATATCACTTCATATGGCATGACTTAAAAGTGGCCTTAAGATGTCAGGCATAGACTTCAGTTGCTGACAACTGTCAAGTAATCCTTCAAAAAATGACAATTTATTTAAATAACAGGTATGCTTCTATAGTACTAAAAAGGCTTGCAACAACTTCTGCATTACTGTGCATTAGTCCACTATGTACTTTTGGTCCATCCTACAGCAGTCATCACTTCAGGACTGTACTCTTGGTTGCCAGAACATCCACTTACCCACACATACTGTTTGGATTTGGGAACATTAAGTCATGTGACAAAATCAAGTTATGGTCAGTGGCATTTCACAATAGAACATCAGGAGCTGAAAACATCGGACAATTTTCCATTTGTTAGGATTCTGTGCTATGCCTTAAACAAGACGTATATTTAACCTATTTAAAGATTTCCGTAGACATTTTGGCAATTTTATTAACATCAGTAACAGTAACAATTATATGAAAAGGAAAAAAAAAGTATAAAATGTAAACAGACGGGCTGCAATGTCTAAAGACAATCAGGAATCTGTCAAGGCACATTAGCAGGTGGTGTGGAATTCCACAGGTAAATACTTCAAGCCAGTAACCGCTGAACTCGCTGCCTTCGCCTTTCAAAAGCTTTTAAATTCCACTTGGCAGGAGGAAGCATGTATGGGCCGTTGTGAACACAAAGAACCGTCATCTCGTCAGCGTAGGTCAGGTTCTGCAGTAGCTGCACAACAAAAATAATGACATTTGAAATATTCAAATTTAAGCCAGAGAGAAATTTCAGACAAAACTTCAAAGTTCATGAAACAAACTCAACAAAAAGAATCTGTAAATCACCTTGGGTGTTATAAAAAAATACTGGGAGGTTGTTTCTTTGCAAGCCGTTCGCACAACAATGTCAAAGACTCTTCGTTCATTAATGGGATCCATGCCCTGTGGGAAAATCACACATTAAATTAGGTTTTGCAAGCATTGCTATAAAGTACAGGACAGTGAAAACCATGCCATAAATCAATCTAATAATAAAATAGCTCTACAAAGTCTAATAGTAAGAGCTATGAAAAACAAACTAGGGTCATTCTAGGTTTAAAACAATGTGGTTCATCTCCAGTCCTGCAGGGCCAGTCTCTTGACAGGACTTCATTTTCTGTTAATTGGCTTAACCAGACCAATCCTTCAATGTGCTGCTGCTCTCAATTCAATTCAAGCTTTATTGTCCCCTAGGGGAAATGTGTTTGACTGTGCCGTAAAACAAAACACAATGACAAATAAAAATCACCAAAAGGGAAGAAATTATAGTAGTGTTACAGAAGATAAGAAACAAGAGACAAGGTAGTTACTTTGCATTGTTTAAGAGTGTAATTGCAGTGAGGATGAAAGACTTCCTGAGTCTGTTGGTTTTACACCTGGGGGCACAACGGCGTCTCCCAGATGGGAGAAGTGTGAATTCGCAAGGTAGGGGGCGAGAGACACTCCCTGATGATTTTGGCTTTCTTAGTCACCCTCTGTTTGTAAAGGATATTGGCCATGCTTTTAATGCCCTGCCATATCATCCTTGTTGTTGTTACCTATTGTCATGGTGTTCTCTATTTTACCCTATACTGTTCCTTAGCATTCCTGATCTCCTTTTTCACCTCTCTCTGCACTTTCTTCCTGAGCCGGGTGTGTCCTTGAGAAAAAGCCCGTTTCTTTTTTAGGAGAAGATGATTAAGGCTTTTTGTTACCCAGGGTTTGTTATTGGGAAAAGCCCTAAAGCTTTTGGTAGGGATGATAGAGTCGACGCAGAAAGAAATATAATCCGATACCACAACAGCGAGGATGTGAATGTCCTTTGATGCGTTTTTTAAACACGTCCCATTGCGTGCAGTCAAAGCAATCACAAAGCCGTTCAGTACAACAGCTGAAAAGACACAGGTCCTTCAGAACCAGTTAAGACTACCTTGTATTTTGTACCCTGTAGTGAGGGATGCCTCACAAGAATTTCACATTTTACCAACAGAAGGGTGTTGACTAATATGATTTACCCATAAGTTTTAAAATGTTTATTCTACTCCTAATTCATTTGGAACAATGCTTCTAAAGGGTTTCAGTACATCCTTAAAATCGCATCTCCAGAAACCGTTATCTTCATCTATGCACAACTTTGGCCACTCGCCCACTCCGATGACATTTTGCGTGAACGATTCCAACGATAATGCAGACTCTTCCTTTCCCAACTTGCCTGATTGATCTCATCCACGACTCGAAACGGGCAGCGGTTGAGCTCCTGCAGGGACATGAGGTAGAGCATGGTGGACACGCTGCGCTCCCCTCCGCTCTGGTGATGAGGAGTCAGCTCGTGGAGCTGGGTGCTGCTGCGGAACTTCACACGGATACGTATCCCGTACTTGTCATACTCCTCCTGCAGATGAGACACCAACGCGTCTAAAAACCTTAGCAAGGCAGACTCCAATCAAATTCATCAATCGAAGTTGACAGAAAACCTTCACCCAATTTTCACTCTCAATCGGAAAACAGTTAAAACCAGGTTCTGGGAAGAACAATAAAAAATGAGAATTCACTCAGTTTTCTTTCTTTACTTTGGTTGAAAGATGAAAAACTGTCAGCACTCCTTTTACCAGCTCTGGTGCATAACTACAGATGTCAAAGCTCACAGTACTGCAGTGCTTATGGGGACCTTTTAACATTCAGCCTGAAGTCTGAAATCTTGAAGGGGATCCCAGTGGCTAAACTAGCAAAGGCCATCACATGGTACCGGAGAGCAGACGTTACTGGTTCGAGACTGGGCTACGTCAGTCTCCAAAAGAGAGCAGGATTTCTCAAACAGCGAAGCGCAACTGGGAACGCACCAGCAGCAAATGGACATTGTAGCGCATGCAGTGTGAAAAACTGCTGGATGGGTCTACCATCCACTGCATGCTTTGGAGGAAGGTGTGACTATCTCTCCCACAGTTGTATGGGGACTTAAAGCTTAGCAGAGTGAACTGTCAACCGGTCGTTCTGACCTGGATGACAGAAAAAGAAGTGGCAATTCCAAGTTTCAACAAACCAAATGCTAATCATTTCACCACTTACCAGGTGCTAAGATTTTTAGTCTTTGCAAACACCAAATTTAAATGTTAAGGTTTCCTGCAATTAAAGATGGGGATTCGCCATCATCCTATTTGAAGCAAGGTATTAACATTTCTCTGAGAACCTTCATCACTTCAAAGATCTGGGTTTTAAGAGTATAGAAAAACTCTTGCCTCATTGTCAGAGTGAAGGTCAACCTCTCCAGCACACTGCATGGAACGGAAGAAATCGCTGAACTTCTCATTGACTTGCTCCACCAGCAGCTTCAATGGGTTCAGCCACCTTTCCTTTACCTGCCACATACAAAGGTCATCATTCACCATTACTCTGATAAAAGCATCATGAAAGCCTATTTATATGTCCATCAGCAATGTCAGCTGGAACATTATATGAACGTTTTCCATCAGGACAATTATGAACTCTTCAAACATTTAAGAGTTGTTTTTCAAGAATTAATTCCTAAGAATTAGAAAGCACATAAAGACAATTGTAGGACTACACTATGAGCTTTCATATCATAACCATTCAATATCAGATTTCCAAATCAGCATGACTAGGTTTGAGTCAGGCAGCTCTTATTGGCAAATCCAATACCCTAATTCTGAAAACTGACTAATTTTCTTGGCTGAATTTCCAAACTACATTACTCCACAATTGCATATTAACAGGTTTTGAGCTGACAGGTACATCTAATTAGTGACTTACTCAAATGATATGAAAAATCTGAATTAAATCAGATTAATATTTACAAAATGTACTCCTGGCAGAGGTGACTAAGATTAGGAATATCAGCAACAGCCATACACCTTTCAACTTCCAACTCAAATGCTAGGTGCAGGCTTCTTGGTGGACTGTTAACAGCATAGTAAGCATAAGATGCAAAAAGGATGGACTAAAACTGGTTGATTCTAAACATGACTTAAGCAAGGTTTTAAAAATATCCTCAGAACAGTTGTTCAACTTTGAACTTGCAATTGTTGAATGTCAGGAAATCCACAGTGAGATAAAATAGGTCCAATTCTGGTCAGAAAAAAATATTTTAAAATACTGCTGTTTCATTTGCAATATATTTCTTATTTTATTATTTAAAAGATACAAAGCAAAACATGCACCATGTTCTTAAACTTCAAAACCTTAAATTCCCCCATTTCATGCAATACGGAGGAAGGCATGGCTCATTAAATCATAACTGACATTTTTTCAGCACAGGAGCACTATTTAAAAAATATATATATATACACAATTTTTTGGATATACAGTTTTGGGATCTATGATTTTGATTTTTTTAACAACTGCAATCAACACAATGAACAAGTCAATGAAAATTGCTCCTGTGTCTTTTTAATTATAAATATTCAAGCTCTTGATCTGATACGTCATAAACGTAATGTGCAAAATTCACTAAAGCATACGAAACAAACGCTGATCATGAGCAACTGATGGGTGTATAGGGGACCGTGTGTTATTTATGTATTTTACAGTTATTTTACCTGCTGTTAGAATTTAATGCTTTAAGAAAAGATTGTTGTTCAAAATTCCCCTTTAGTATTTAAAAGACAATTTGCCAAGTGTTAAACCAAGGCTTTACTGTATGTAGCCTTCAACATTTGTGGAGTAGTTGCAGTCAGTTTACAGTAATTCAAAAGCTTTTAAGAAGCCAAATGTTATCACATAAATGAAGAATTACAATACCTGAGAAATGCTCTCTCTGTATTCTTGTAATGCTTTTGTTTTTTTGTCGAGTTCTACTTTCAAGTTATCATATTCCTGTGTTCTCTCTGCATATTCATCAAGCACCTGCAAAAAAAATCCACAAGAACAACATTTTTAAATCAGCTTTGGATCCCCGTTATATAACACTTATTTATATATTTAGGGATAGAAAGTAAGATTTTGGTTGGAGAAAGTCCATTTATCACAAAAAGGTATTATGAATTTTGATCCGACTACTATAGACCTAACCAATTTGGAAAATATTAAATATTTACATTTCAGCCCATTGCAACAATTGACCTAATGAGGAAGTGCAGACAGGCTCTTCCAACTCACCTACTTAAATGGATTTAGTAGTTGTTCACGTACAGTACTATAACTGGATGCACTCAACTGGACACATCCCTTATTGATACCGCAACAAGGCTGCAAAAGCCAAGGAAATTGCAGGGATTGCTGAAAACCAATTACTCCAACAGCATTGATCAATTTGTATATCACCACCTGGGGAATTTTGCCAAGCCACTGACTCGCAATAACTGGATCATTCAAACTAAACATTTATTGCTTGAGCTGCTCATAGGCTTCTGATGTTTTGGGTTTTCCTTTCTGAGATTTGCAGACAAGATAAGCACAAACTTAATCACCTACCGAAGAATTTACACCTGTGAAGCACTCTGCTCTTGATCTCTCTTCATGCAGAAGTGCATCTATTTCATCCACAGTATCTGGAAACTGTTTGAAGACCTTCACAAATAAAAGACGTTTTGCAGATTAAATATAGCACATAATGAGTTATGTGCACCCCAGAAACACTGCTACTACAGAAGGATAAATCAAAGCAGGAATTTAAGATTTAGTTTTTAACCACAGCATTTCCCATTTATTTAAATACATGGCAGTGCACAGGGTATAAATCATTTCTGCTCTGTTGTAAACATTCAAAATAAGGTGAAAGAAGCTTTCACTTTGTGTGTTAAAAGTATTACTTGCACATGGTATCAAAAATGTTTAAATGGTTAACTGCACACAAAATAAATCTCGACTACCCATCCTTTGATTTAGTTATATTTGCGGTTCACAAATGGAAACCAAAGAGTCTAAAGGATCTATAAAAAAACATCCTAAAGGAATGGTCAAAATTCCCCCTTTGGAAGTACCTGAGCCCCAGCCAGAGGAGGATTTACATTGGTACAAAACATGGATGTGCATAGATTTTCAGGATAAATTCAATCTGTGAAATGTTTTTTCTTTTTTTTTAAAGTGTATGAATCAATTTGGAGTGCACTGTAGAAACAACATTTAAGCAACCTGTAAAAGCCACATATTTAAAAGTTTATTAAGAGACAGATTATTAACAGACAGGAAAGCACAGTACTGTTGCGAAAGGAAAGCAAGACATAATTTCCATCTTAGTACTCTTCCAGTGTGAATAAACTAATAGAATAAAATGAATAATCTTCTTGTAGATATTACTGCACAAGTTCTGCCACTGTCTAGAATAATTTCTCTCAAGCTAGATTTTTGCATGTAGCTCAATAGTTTATTAAGGATTATTTAATTGATCAAAATATGCTATCAATTAAACTTTAATCCATTTAAAATTAATTTGAGCTGCTATACAATGAACAGTATTCTCTACTGAAAGATGCAGTCCAAAAGGAAAAGGTCCTTTTATAAATCTGTGCGGGTATGTCAACTCTATGGAGGATAGTCTGTCAATAACCTCCAAAGACAACACTGTCTTTCTGCATTAATGTCTTAGATACAAATAAGCCTCTTAACAGAAACATCTGCAACTTTTATTAATATTTAGCACTGAATTCAGTTATTTCTTATTGTTCAAGTCTATTAAGCTACAAAAATTCAGGAAAAATTTAACTTCTCATCATTGATCTAGAGGGTCTAAACTGATGTCAGTATCTGATATGTCAAATGGTTTTATAAAATGCACTGAAAGGCAGTCTGTTTACAGTTTCAGACTTAAAGATTTTAAGATGGAAAAGATGGTTACCAAATTTGTATATCATCATAGATGTACTTGTTCCACAAGGTGTCACAGACACGTCTACGTCTATGATTAGTTGAAACAAAAGGATGTTTCCCAGAATCTGCCTAATCAATCGCTCCTTCGTAACACCACTCACATCATGGAGATCCTGAGGGACATCGCTCTGCCCTGGGTCCAAGTTGCAGATCTCCTGAGCTTTTTTCATTAAGCCTTTGCAATCACACACCAGAGTATGCTTCTTTCTCTCCAACTCCAAATATTTGTCCTGTAAGGTTTGCAGATAATCTTGCTGATTTACACATACAGTATCCAAACACTAATGGTAGTGTTAATTGACATTAACACTACATACAGTAGGAAAATGCTTTTAAAGAGAAGCTCCGCAAACTAAATTTTTTAACGATTTTAATAAAGTATAAAATATTTCTACTGATCTTAATGTTGTACCAATAGCAACATTTCAAGAAAAATGAATTTACTACTAACGGATGTACTACTTTGTGCCGCTCTTATTGAAAAGGGACTATTCGACCAGTGTGATTTCACAGTTACACCTTCCTAATTTTAACACTGTCCTTTCTTTATATAGATGCATTGGAATGACGAACTGTATTTCGTCCATTACCTCCAGAACTCTCAGGCGGGCAGAAGCCTCTCTGCAGTCAGTTTCAAGTTTTGTCTTCTTTGCAGTTAACTGCACACTGTCAAGAGCCAGGTATACCCTGTCCATGTTCAGTTTTACTCTTTTCTGAATTAAAAGAAAGTTATCAGAAGCAGAAACATCATAATACAGGTTCAGTATGTGCCACCCATTCGAAGCATTTTCAGGCGGTGCAGTGGCTCTGTTGATAAGGATCTGCGCCTGTGGCTGGAAGGTTGCCGGTTCGCATCCCACTGCCGGCAGAGGAGTCCTACTCCTTTGGGCCCCTTAGCAAGGCCCTTAACCCCAACTGCTCCAGGGGCACCGTAAAAAATGGCTGACCCTGCACCTTGACCTCAAGCCTCTCTTCCTGTCTGTGTGTCTCATGGAGAGCAAATTAGGGTATGCGAAAAGACAAATTCTTGATACAAGAAATTGTATATGGCCAATATCTTTTATCTTAAAAAAAGAATCCACAACAGTTATCAACAATGGTAAACCTACTGCATTACATGTTGTAAGTAATTATTCTGTATCCGAGTTTGCTTTTTATTCAAAACAATACTTACTTTCATACTCTCAATTAAATCTGATACAATGGTGACCTTCTCAGTATTAACTGCTTTTATTTTTTCTTTTGTTTTTCCCTCCTCCTCTTTTAGGTTTATGCCGTTCTGCTCCATCTGTTTCAGACTACAAGAAGAAGTTCCAGTTATTCTTACACAGTATCCGTTTTTATCCTAGCAAAGTCAGATTGACATGAGGGAGCAGAAGATATAAGAAGTCCAATTAATAATTTTAACCTACTACTTTTCTTTTGTGAACTTCAAAATCACAATTTAGAAAAAAACATTAATTTTATTATAGCATTACTGTGCTATTTTTAATTTCACTGTATTTGCATTGCTGCTGTACATATGAGTTGTCTAGTAAGAGATACACTGAACTGTACTCGAAATGATTAGACGCCCGCCTGACACACTGACCAAAATTAACATGTCAAATGCATGACAAATACAGAATTTATTTTAAATGTCAACATTTTCACTGGGCACATTTTAGAGCAAAGATCCTTGACCCTACGCTTTATAGGCAACTCCACCATGTGACGGCAATCCTGCTGTACTGTAAGTGGATGAAGCACTGAGCACACCTGTCTAGCTTGGTGCTGATCTTTTGTTCCAGCTGCCTCTTCTTTCCCTTCAGCTCGGACAGCTCTTTCTTTTGATTCCTCAGATCGTTATCTCGACGGTCCAGCTGGGTCTGCTGTTCAGCAAAGGCTCTCATCTGCAATTCTAACTCCTGTAATTTCTGTTGAGCAGTCTGACAACATGGAAAAAAAAAACTTGAATAACTAGAGTTCCAAGATCTTTGCTTCCATGTTAAAAAAAATGGCAAAAAAGGAAAATCCTGAGCCTATTACAGCCAACCGTTATGTTCTACATTACAATTCAATGGCCTTTTAACTGTTTAGATCCCTTTTAGGTTTGGGGTCGCTTATTTTTATAATTAATACCATTACTTTTTATCATTACCGTAATCTTACAGTGAAAATTAACAGGCAATGAACCAAGAAGCAAGTTCAAGCACATTTCTCAATGTAATGATGTAGGAAAAGGCAACTCCATGCGTGAGAGTCAGACTGCAGAAATCTGTGCACGGGTGACAGGGTCACAACAGAAGCAGCATGTGTTTCTCATCTGCATTAGTGCCGACGGGCATCACCTGCAGCTGCCCCTCCAGCTGCCTTCTGGTATCGGCATCCGCAGCTGAAGTCAGGAACTGAGAGGGACGCAGCGCAGTGTTACTGGTGATGGTTTTGTTGGAGTAGACAGATTTCTTCACCGTGTACTTTTCCTCAGCAGTGAAAATCTGTCTCAGCTGCGACTCTTTTATCACCTGTCAAAAGAACACATGCATGCCAATTTACCTTTTAGCATTTTTTACTTAAATGTCGACTTCAAAAATAGCACTAAGTAAGAATACAAGACGGTTCTGGACATCAAACAAAACCACTTCAGTTTATTGCTTTTGTTATTATATTCACCCAATTTTGGAATCACCAAGCTATAAGATAGCGAAGGATGGAGGATAAAATTAAAACTGAATCCAGAATACTGCTGCCACCCAGCACACAAAATTGCTTCTCCACAGGGAGATTTTTTTTCTCCCCCCAACACCTTGTACACACAAATTGAGGTCATTTTGGCTCAGAAGGCTGCCCCGACCAGACTGGTTTTTGAGATTGGCAGTGTGGCATCACCAAGATGGTTTGGTGTAGTGTTGCATCATTTTATTTTAGGTTAGTGTCATCTTAAAGCAGAAACATTTATAACTACTATCAGGACATAAAAAGGCCACAAAGCCATACTGAAATTAAACATTGTTTTTATGAGCACACATTCTGCAGACTTGTGTCAAGCACAATTATTTGAATATGCAAATTCTAGGACTTCTGTGCAAATTTCATTACTGGAAAGAATCATAGACACTAAACAATAACTCTCAAATACAATGTAACACTCAAATCAACTGCAAAATCAGTTTTTTTTTCTGATCCATTATACTGTAGGTCCAGCTCAACCTCAAGAAATCCTATACCTTATAAATGACAGTATGAAAAATGCTCTACAATTCTCGTCTTTGAGGACTGAAGAGTACTTGGAATTTGTATTAAATAATCACTAAACTACCTGCATGTTCACAATGGAAATGTTCCGTACCCATTGTATCTAGTGATACAATGATGATCTACAAAATCTGCTGGTTTGTTGTCCAGTACCTGTTTTGAAGGTCCCTGCTATATGGTATGTATTACTTACAGTTTCAATCATTGCTTTGGTCTGTTCATTTCCCACTGGAATTTCATTTACTTTGTATTGGTTGCACAAGTAACTCATAACTTCTTCTGGGGCATCAAACAATTCTCTTAAGTAAGAGAAAAAGCCATAGCGTCTATAAAACAAGGAAAACCCAATATAAAACAGGTTAATCATAGCATTAAAATAGGATTTTCGTACACAAACAGCGTAATCATGCTGATCAGTCAGGTATCGCCTTATTAACCTATAAAGACAGGACATCCGTCTACAATGAAACACGGGTGAGGTGACATCTGGAGAGTTTTAAAGCTACACAAACACTGACAATTTTAATTTTTATAAAAAATGTGGGTAATTGTGCTAATACCACAACAAAATGTATTCATCAGGAAGGTATATACTGGTACACTATGTTTATGCAGCACATATGTTAACAGGAAACCAACTCAAAGTAATTATCAAAGCCAAAATTCTATACAAATCTAAAGACAAGAATTTTAAAAGCCCACATACAAATGAAGGATTTTCCAAAAATGATGTTTGTTGAAGTTTTAAATTCTAATTTGAAACTAATTTTTAGTTAGTTCTAATTTCTAATTAAATTTTTGTGAGTAGCACAAGTGACTGGCCCTCTGGGGAAAATAAAAACATGCATGACACCAGCAAATCTGGCCAAGGAAACAATTGAGTAAGGATACAACTTACCGTAATGCCTCAATCGGTCGTGGTGGTGGTTTGTTGGCACATGATTGAGGAGGAGCGATCACAGCATTAACCCGTAATTTTTGTTTGTCACGTACCTTAAAAAAAAAAGTCTTCACTATAGAACAGTTAACAAACCAGGGTATTTTTACATAAAATATTTTTTCAAAACACAATGGAAAATAAGTTTGGGTTGAAAACAATCTTTGAAAACCGACTTTTCAAAAACACTTTCGGGGACAATCTTTGTAACTGATCTCCTAAACAGTATGTCTCCCAGACCCTTCACAAACTGAGCAATTCCAAGGTAACCTTATACTTCAAAGTGAAAAACTTCTTGGCATTTTAAATTCAGCTAAAACGTGATTAGTTTTTAGCAGGCTACTGTATGACCTGATGCTAAGGAGTAAAATGACACTCCAAGACAAACTTCAGCATTCATATCTGGTTTTGTCTAAATTAAAGGAAACCATTTCATATCGGACCATCCAATATTCCATGAGCAAAGAGAAGAAAGCAATAATTACATTTGGGTGAAGAATGGGCACAAAGCATACACAGGACACACACAGAAAAGCCTATTTTTTGGTTTCCAAACAGGCATGTCACAGTGCCTGTAAATTACCTGCATAACCCCTAGTCACAAATCTTTGTTTTTTTACTGGAAAATCTGAAGTTATTTTTAAGCAATATTTTAAATTCCTTAGTAGTAGAAAATCCTCCCACTGGGGGAAGACACTAAACAAAGATAAATATATTAGTGTAAACACTGCAACATTATACAGTTTTCTGCTGTTCCATACAAACAGTATTGTAGAACACACTGCGACTGTGGAAAAACAGAGCTACAGTTACTAGAGTGACAGGTGTATTTATAAAAAAATTACTTAAAGGAAAATGCTGCTTGTGAGGGGCTGTTGCTCTTAAAAAGTATTATAACTACCAACCGCATTCACATACAAGACATCTCATGAGATACTATACCTTGTAAGAGGCACATTTAAATCTTGCATACTAACTGTACTGAAGCACTCACCTCGCTCATAAATGCTTCCATGTCCTCTTGCTTTTGGAACACAAAAGCCCGGAGGTCATTAATTGAAACTTGGTTCTCAATATACTTTGCATGTTGAGCATCTCTTACATTGACCTGGAAAGGTAGAAAAGTAGCACATTCTTAGTTATCATGTCTTTTATGCTGAAATCACTCAAGAATACAATACATAATTCACCTGCTATCTAGATAATAATATATCTTACTTCCTGAGGAAAGATCTACAAAAGAAGAGGTAGTAAATCTTTGATGATCTCAGGGTGAAAAAAATATATGCCTGTCTAATGTTATGAACTGGCCACCTACATTGTTGAAGCCAATGCACTAGCTTCTCTCAAGAAATCAAACGTTGAAGATGCTCGGATCAATTAGGTATTAGCAATCCAACGAGTTAGTGGAGGCAAAACAGCCTGCTCTCATTTCTAACACATTTACAGCCATTCATGCTGAAATTTAGCATCTTAAATTGGAAACCTTCACGACTAAAATCACGACTCGAGTCGTTTTTCACGACTAAAAATGACTAAAATGGATGAACTTGGAAGCAGTATCAGTGAAAAAAACATCTGCAATGATAACTTAAGTGCAGAATAACAGCACACCAATATACTGCACATGCCTGGAACTAAACAGGTCAGTGTGGAGCGATATTTTATGCATCACAATTTTCAAGTTTTCAACTTGAATTTTCTTTTTCCAACTAGGCAACTTCACACATTTTTAAGGTTCTTTTTAGGTAGGCATTTGACATGCAAATATACAACGGCTCTGTGAAGCACAGTGAATGGCTCAGTGTCATAACACTGACATTAGACAGGAACCGTGGGAGGGCTCAATTGACATGCAAACAGATTTAATTTTCCTATTTTGTCAGTTTTCTTGAAACGTGCAAATAAAAAAAATCCATAAATGAGTTCAGCATACAAACTACAAAGGAAGAAAAGAAAAACATATTAAACACTGAAGATTAAAAAAAGGCATTGCTTCAGCTGTGGACCCTTGCTCAGGTGTGTGGGGCACAAGAGACTGAGGTCCACCTCACACCTGAAGAAGACACCACTCTTCTCTATCCTCTATTCTTTACTACTTTTCAGGGTAGAGTTAACCTCTATCTGCAGCAATGTTTAATAAAGCTTATGCCAGGCTTATTCTTATCACATATTTAAAATTTCATACTCCACATTTCACATCTGACCACTGGCCACCAAATACCCACCGAATGCTGTAGCAGAAGGCAAAAAAGTGATCAAAACCTGTTTCAGGAGGACAAGTCAAATGTCTCCATAATGGAGACTTCTCATGTACGTCATGATACATACGCACCACAAGCATAATGGGCTCGTAGACGTTGCCCCTGAAGAGGTTCCGGTTCTCTCTAAGCCACATCATGGCGTTGTAAGTGTCACGGTATCTCTCCTTCAGCTTCTCCTCTTTACGAATCATCAAATCTTCATGCTTCCGGAGCTCAATTTTTAACTCTAAACAACAGAAAATCATGCAAAAGGCCATACACAAATGTCAGGTCATAGAAAATAGTATTAATAAACCAGGTAAGGCTATAAAATGGATTTTCGGTGTTCCACGAACAACAGGAATGCTGAACGTTAACATCATGAAGATCGCAATGGAAAAGGTGTCATACTTTCTCTTTCATACTTCTGGTTCTCCCACTCCCTCTTCACATCTGCACGTTCACTATCAATTTTTGCCTTCTCCTCCTGTATGTGCCTCAGCTGCCCATTGATGCTGTCAATCTTGGGCTGTACGTCGTCCTGGCTGCCGATCGAGTTGAGCTCCGCTTGCCAGTCATCAATCATCCTCCTGGTGTTATTGATCCTTTTCTGCCGGTCTGCCTCCTCTGTCTGTTTCAGACTCAGTGCCTGCTGGATATCCTCGATCTGAGAAAAAAAGCAGACCAGTCACTCACACCAGCACATATCACCTGCCCCAGGTTCGTTCTGAAACTCCATCTGGCCACAGTTACTAGCACCAATTCTAAGGATTACAAAGTTGCCTCTATATATGTGTGTGTGTGTGTGTGTGTGTGTGTGGGTACACTGCACACAGACCTCTTTTTGCAAACGGCACATTTGATGCAAGGGCATGTTCAGATTCTAGCACAGGTCAGTGGTACTTACTGTACAAGGTCAAAATACTGGACCAGATATAGGTTTTCTGAGGTGCATCACGAAAAGGTGTTGTATGAAGAAGTCAGGAACAGGATGAAATGTTTTCATGTTTTTGACACCATCTGCAGTAACTAAGTGGAACAAGAATGGATGCATCTGGGCCTCAGGATACAAAGGCAAAGGTTACAGAAGTGGCTCGAGTTGAGTGATAAAGGGTGAGAAACTGTACTGTGGGGAAAATAAAAAGGATTGTTTAAACTTTTACTTAATTACTATGAGCATTATTTTATGATTTGTTGCTTCACCAGATATGATTACATTTTTTATACAATTTACTTTCTGCTTTATTGCCTGTGAAGGATGTTTATTAGAATTTTCATTTTAGAAAAATTAATAGATATAGGAACAATAAATCTAACAAAAGAAAAACTGGCAGGATGCTTTGTTTTATCAACATTTGATTTATTTTGCATTGGCAAGGTGCAGTGTAAATGTATAGGTTAAATTATGAACCTGGGGTGCTATCTGTGTGGAGTTTGCATGTTCTCCCCATGTTCATGTGGGAGTTTGCCGGGGGCTCGTTTCCTCCCACGGTCCCAAGACATACTGGTAGCTTATCGGCCTTCTGGGAAAGTTGGCCCTGGTTTGAATGTGCAGGTGTTGACTGGTCCCTAGCACCTTTTGCGTGCTGGGATAGGCTCCGGCTCCCTCATAATCTTGAGTTGGATCAGAAAATGGATTGATGGATGGATTTTTTTGTAGCATTCATTCTCTTTTTTTCATGCAGGCGGCAGTAAAAGAAGCATTAGTTGCTTCCACTAAGCACTTTTGACAGACAGAAATGCCCGTTTCCCTGGTAACCTCAGTTCTCTGCAGGGGCCTTAAGCTGTGAGCACAGAAGCGAGTACTGGTGGCAGTATTCCACCAGGGACAAAGCTCAGCTGTCCCCAGTTCGTTTGGTCTTTGACCTAGAGTACGGGAACAGTCAAGGGCATTCCGGTTCACTTCTCTGTGGTCTAGTCTTTGATTCATTTCTTGCTACACTGTGTCCTTCAAAACAATTTTTAGACCAGCTTGGGTAAACTAAAATCGGGCTTTATATTTCTAAACAAGTGAATAAGTGAATATAACTGTGCAACTCGGAGAACAGAGTGAAGTATAGGGTTAGTGGCAGATGTCAACACCCACAGTATCCTGTGCCTCTCACTACCAGCGGGCAGATCCATGCACCAACGTTTTCAAAGGTGGGTCAGGGTTAGGCTACACACTTACCTTCAGTACCTTCAGTTTCTACAGTAATATCAAATGTTATGGCCTGATGGACACCTCTTGGCTATGGCCTTTTCAATACAATTTTGTAAATAACTGTAGGTATTGCATATTTGCAGATTAGAACTCAGTAATACTAAAGGTACACAAGAACACAGAACAACGTGTTCCAAAAACAGCCATTCTGATTTAGTCTTTAAAAAACCAAAAGACAAACCTCTTTGTCCTTTCGATCCAATTGGTCTTGTTTGATCTTGCATTTCTGCCAAGCTTCTTTCATCTGTATATTCTGAAAATAACATAAAAGGGAATAGTACTGAAGGCTGTAATTACCACACACAGGTATGAAAGATTTGCTTGGTTTCCATGGAAATTAAAATGGCAGACTGGGCATTCATTGTGCATTTAACAAACAAAACACAAATCTCTTCCAATTTTTTTTTTGAGAACATCTGTTAAGCTGAATCCCTAACCATGTTAAACAAAGTTGTTTTTGCCTAAATGATGTAGCTGGGTAACATTGTGAAATTATGAGGAAAAAACTTAAAATGAATCTAATTTCTACTACTTACCTTTTCTTTCATCTTGTTGTCAAGGGGTTTAAGCTGGCTTTCAACTGACTTAATTTTGTTTAGCATTGGTGCTTGTTCATCCTGCAGCTTTTTCAGTTCACTCTTAACCTTGTCTCGCTCACTCTTTACTGCTAAAATTTGCCTCCTAACAGTCTCGTATTCCTAAAATGAAAAGTTTCAGATCAGGGATACAGCAGGCTGCATAAACACTTGATACTTTAAAAAACACAAAAAAGATTAATAATGGCTAAAGTAACACACTGTCCTACAGAGACAGATTATAAATCTACCACATAGACATGTAGGACAGAAGGAGGCTGTTATAAATTAAATTAAGAAAAAACATGAAAATGATATTACTGTAAATGTCAATAGTGACAACAAGCAATAGATTACTTCATACTACAGTTAACATTATGCTGCTCAACCCCAAAACAGCAGTTTTGTTCGTTAAAAAAGAAACATTGCACCCTGTATTAAAAAACCTACCACCCAGGGCTTTTTTCTCTCTAGCATGTTGATAACATCCAAGTGACGCTGCTTCTCATAGTAACGTTCCACATCCCGTTTGTAACGCTCGTTCTGATGGCCCATCTTCTCAAGGAGACCCGCCTTCTCCTTGCAAATATTCTGCCAGGTGAATTGGTCCAATGTCAAACACAGAATACTGAGCACCAGGACAAACCTTTCGCCGTATTTAGGCACATATGTTTTACTCCACTTTAATCAAAATCTAAAGGGAAGGCTCAAAAGAGTCTTATTAAAAGATAATGAAGTCTGGGTGCTTCTTAAACGTTTTCGGTGTCAATCTGACTAACTGACCTATCAGAACTGACTGCTGCAGAACGTGCCTGGCAAACATAAGAACATTTCTCACAAAACACAGGAACCAACAAGCACTGCTGATCAAGACAACAGAAACAGCCACACTGGATGCCAACAGACCAATCAATGGAGAAATCTTAACATCATGGTTTGGACATGAGTAACTACGTTAAAATCTTGGTACCCCACTCGCTGCTGTGAGATCATCCAGATATGGCAACATTCCAGCAGCAAAATGCACATCCCTTGTTCTTTAAATCCTTTAAAAGTCCTTTAAAAGACTTCCTAAAATGTTACCTCCAACTCCCTTTCCTTTGAACGGAAGTTTTTTAATTCGCAGTGGAATCGGTACATCTCCGGTGGCCCAACGGACTTTTCAGTTGCTTCTAGTAGCTCGACTTTACTCATCTTGGCAAACTCCCCAACCTTCTCCTGTATGACAAACAGAAATAATTCAAAGAATGTTAAACCTATCCATTTTAAAATTTAAGGTGAATTTCAGGCGCATACAGTACGACAACACTGTAGAGGTAACAAAAATGGCAGACTGGGCATTCATTATTATCATTCATTCATACAGAATTAACCCAGCAAACAAAGATTCTACAAATCTGATACAAGATTAATATATGAAATACAATACAAATTGGAAATTGTATAAGAATTTTTTAATATAATAATCAAACCAGCACTATAACACTTAGCATAAGACAGAAATGGTACATACCTTCAAATCAGAAATATGAAAACTTACGTGACACAATTATATATGCTTATTTCAGAAATCAAGCAGGGCTTCTGTACGAAACTTTCCATTATAAAGATACTTTGCAATCGTCTCCTAAAAAGCACACTGCATCTTTAGAGACCGTCTATGACTAAGAATGCAAGAAAGGTCACAAACAAGATGAGATGGTGCCTCCATCCCATGTGGACGCTAATAGCTAATTGATCCAAGCATCACATTTGGATATTTCCTGAAAGATGTCATATTACTGCAGTGGGCAGCTTGTTTAGCACTCCAAACACTCTTTGTGGAAGAGTTCATGTTTTAATGTCTTATACAACGAGATTGAAAGTACACAGCACAGTCACGCACCTGAGGCAGAAACTGACACAGATTTCCAACTTGTATTTGAAGTGCTTTCACTGCCTCTTCCACAGTTTTCTGACTTGCATGTTTGCCATTGATCATCCATGTGGACTGATTGTTTTCAACGTGAATTTCTCGATTTATCTTAAGATTGCCTTCACACTTGTACCTACAAAAAAAATTGTTTAATAAGATGAAGTACTTTTAACAAAAAAAACTCCATTATGCTTGGGTAATACTTTAGTTAAACAATTTTAAGAAAAGTTGCAGATTACCTTTTGTGTCCCTTTCCACAAAAGGACGTTAATTTTTGAAAATGCTTTAATAGTTCAAATAAACTGCACATTCTGCAATTCATATTTCTGCCCAGAACATATATTTTAGGATCTACTATCAACTATCAGGACTTTTTACTTACAATTCAATTTCAATGGAACCCTTGCTGCACCCTCGTTTTACATAAAGACCAACCTAAAACACAAATATTACTATTAAATCATTGTAAGCACAACAGCCTTACATTAGGAATTAACAAATATACAGTAAACCCTTACTATTACAATTAAGTAAATTTACAAACAAAAATGTAGACTGCTGGGCACAAACAATAGATTAGAAAATTAATGGGGATTGTGAAATGCCGGAGCTAAACCTACCCTTTTAAAAGCCAGGTCCAAAGTAAACTTTCAAGTTTGACTTTGTATCCCTATGAACGTATTACAGATGAAGAGTAAAAAATGTATTTCCTTCACAGAAGGGATTTATTTTTAACTTTTGTAAATTTTTAGGAACAATATCTGTTTCACCTGAGATACAAATAGCACCTACAAGTGGAAAAAAAAACAGAACAGACAACTAAAATTCTTTAATTTAGGGATCAAAAGGCGGTGTGCTGCTCTGTGGTCCTGAAATCCACATTCCTTTCTAACCACCTGACAGGAAACGAACAGGGGGCTATTGGTGCAAGCAGCCCAAGCCAAGCTCCCAGTTACACCACTGAACCCTTAACTGACTTACAAATAGAATTCATTTCAATTGCGAGTCTGTTTTCATGTTCTTAAACATGTTGAAATGGGTTTCTCCACTTTTCAACGGGCCCACTTCATAAAAAAAAGACAATCCCAACCTTTGGGGTAGGCAAAAAAAAAATTACCCATTAGCCATCAAGCAACTTGTTGGTTCAGTAAAAGATCCGGGTAGGTATCCAGGTTCAGGGGAAATGAACACCAGCAGGAGTGTGGTTCACTAGGAGCAGGGTGGGGAACTCTGGAGTTACTCTACAGTTCTGGGAAATCGGACATTCATTCTAACTCCACAACTGTAAAGTACCAACCCTTCCTAGAGTGCCTTGAAGAAGATGCCAGGAGGTCCAGGCCTCTTCTGTTCAACATAAGCTAAAGGCTTTGGCTGACAGCCTGACTTACATGATGTACTTTCTGTTCCGAGAGAGACACGTTTGACTTCAAGGCACCAAATTTTCATGAAAAACCGCAGCACTGAGGCTCTGAAAACGGACACTACCCCCTCTTGTAAAATTCATACCCTACAACATGAAAATCCAGAAACTAAACAACTCACTTTATCGCCTCTTCCTAAAAATCCTGTCTTTCCTGCGAGCCCCAAGCAGATGGCACAAACTATGCTCGATTTCCCGGTGCCGTTAGCTCCCACAATCATGTTCAGATTCGGTCCTGGATACACGTCACACCTGTCATAGGTTCTGTAAGAAAAAAAAACAACAAAACCGACCATGCCTTTTCATCACTTTAAAAGTGCCTTTTTACAAAACTTACCCATAACAGAGGTCAAACCAGACTTTCACTCCATGAAACTACAGAAAAGAGTGTAAAAGCATCTCATCGCATTCAGATATACACTGGTAAAAGGGGCAACGTCTGCTCCTTTTAGAAAGTACACTGTTCTTTGGTAAAAGACAGTCTCTGAAGGGTACACTTGCCACCTGTCTGAAGCCAGAATGCCATGGTCGCATGTAAACACAGGGACGCTTCTGCCGGGAGAGCCTTTTTTTGTTGTTTCATTAAACATATATCTGGGATATCTGAGCGTTTGCACATTTATATAGCGCCTTTCTGGACACTCCAGTAAAAGAGCTTTCCAGGCAGTGGGAACTCTCCTCCACCCATGTGCAGTACCCGCCTGGATGATGCACCGTCGTCATGAATTAACTACCGAGAGCTGTGTAGACATCATGCAGACACAATGGAGGAAACCTGCACATAGTCCTGTGTGGGATACCGTTGTTCAAGCGCTTCACGTACATATTATATATAATACGAGAACCTGTTTCATTCCCCAGTAAAGGGGAATTCTGCGCCAGCAGGACCCTAACAGTAACACAGATCTTGTGAAGAGAGAAACTGCTTCACCTATAAGGTGAATAAAAATAAGGTGGACTTCACGGGTCTACAAGCCCGGAGAGCAATTCACCTACACCACTGAATAGAAACATTGCATCTGCAGTATAATAATAATAATAATAATAATAATAATAATAATAATAATAGTGTCAAGATTTCGGTTTAACATAATAAATTCGCTAGTTTGTTTAGCCCTTTCAGCAATGTGTTTGTTTGCCTGTTTTCGAACACCAGCGTATTTTTATTTTTCTATTTTAGGAGAACATAAACCAAACGGCACCTGCACCACCAAATGATGCGCGTTTCAAAAACGTTTCTTCCGATTGATTCTTCTTCAGCTGCTAAGCTCAGGTGCGAGATTAGCAAGCCCAAATGAAATGTGAGCACCAACTTTTAAAATATTGCTATTTGTGCACGTTACGCCTCTTTGATATCATAACGAAACTCAAGTCTCAAAAAGTAGAACGCAGCGGCAGTAAGTTGGCGTTGTGCCGCTGTTCGAGCATCTTAGCGCCCGTCTACTTACAAGAAATTTTCCATTGAAATCCTGACAATGGACCCCTCAACAAAGTGGTCTTTTTTGTCATCTCCAACTGAATGAAGCGTATTGTTTGCTCTCGAAGTTGAAGCGCCTTCACTGTTGTTGCTGTTCGCGAACTGGTGACTGACTCGCTTCCTCTTGTTAGAGGCCGCCATCTTGACGAATAAAAAAACTGCTCGCGTTGTGACGCAGGCGAGGGAAGCACCAGGAGGTTCCCGCCTGCCGGAAACCTTCGCTATTGGTTATACTCCCAGCATTTCAACCAGGCAGACCGTGACGTACAAACCGGTAGAAAACAAAGTGAGTTTTCTGACACGTGGTGTGATGCTGTCGTTGTGTAACGACGGATTTAGAATACCTTGTAAGTCTCCAAAGACAGCAGCAAAGGTCGACATAAACACATATCCTGGGAAGAACAAGCTGGTGTTTTATTTTTCTACAGTATATTCTGTACAGTTAGTTGCACGTCTGTTTTCAATTGCCCTATTAGCCAGCAACCATATCACTCTGCATCTCACAACTGGCAGCCCACTTAAGCTCAGCAGGTGTGAGCCTGGCCAGTACTTGGATGTGAGACCTACTGGAAAAACTAAGGTTGCTGCTGGAAGAGGTGTTGGTGCAACCAGTAGTGGGCACTCACCTGCAGTCTTGGTGGGTCCTAATGCCCCAGTATAGTGACAGGGACATTATACTGTAAAAAGGTGCTGTCCTTTGGATGAGATGTAAAACAATGGTCCTGACTCTCCCTGGTCATTAAAAGTCCCAGGGTGTTTCTTGAAAGCAGTAGTGGTGTTACTCTGGTGTCCATATGAAGATCACTTTATTAGCTGAATACAATTTCTTGCATTAGGAATTTGTCTTTTCACATACCCCAGCTTAGCCTCAGTGCCACCGCTCCATGATCCAATACCCCCTTGGCCATTACCAATCATGGCCTCCAAATAATCCCCATCTATACATAGATATTGGCTTCATCACTCTCCTGTGTTAGGTTTGGGTTTATAGCTGAGAGACAATTGCATTGAACTCTTTAGCAGAATATCATACATATCATGTTTCCTGATTTTCCATCCAGCTGAACTCTAAATCTGCAGTGCTAATTGATGCCTTTAATGGATAACCATGATTGTTTAGTTTTTTTTATTTGCTCCTGCAGTAGCATTCAGCACTACCCCCACTTGAAAAGTGCTGTTTCCAACACCCTCAGCATAAACAGACCATTAAACAGTTGAAACCCAATTTGCTTAACCAGATTTCTGACCAGATAGCTCTTGACACCATATCAGTTTCTAACAATCACACTCAGGTGATTGACAATAATTCACACACTGCCGCAGTCAGGGGTTCTGTCAGCTACATCGCAAGCAGCACACCTTGAAAGAATGTAGCTCTGTAACACAAGCATTGGTTCAGTGTGGATTCCAGTACCAAATGTACATACTGTATATCCCCAAAACAGAAAACTGAAATCAATTAGCCTGTAATTTAGAACATGACTGGAGCAAAAGCCAGAGAGAGGACACAGTATTCCTACAGTACCAGGGCTAGAATTCACTAGCAGGGCTAGAATTCATGTGCAAAACACATGTCTTTTAACAGCTTAGAGACACTCTGACAAACAAGCAGCTTAGAATGTGCTGAGCATATTCGATCTGGGGAAATCACAATAACAGCACTTCTTGCATGCATGGGCTCACAGAAATGAGAGACTTTCTGATAAGGGATAGATAGTAACAGTGCAAATTTTCCCAGAAGCCAATTAACCTACCAGTATGTCTTTGGACCCCACACAAAGAATAGTGAAGAATAGTACTGTTTTCTTCCACTAGATGGGAGTAGAGCATTAGGGATGTTCACAGGAAAATTAAAGATTTTAGTCCATCAAAGGTTTGGTATATGGAACTACAATGAGAATCAAAAGAAACACCATTTCCACCTTCAAATTCACTACGTTCTGATCAGAAAAATTTGTAGTAGGTGCAAAAGAGATAATATGGCTCAATTCTTAATGCTGATAACCATTTGTTATTACTACATTGCCCGTTCGCTGGTCTCTAAGCCCTAGATGTTATGTCACCCCAGATCATCCCACGAATGTCCAGTTAGTCCAGTTAGTCTCTAGCCTGGCAAGTGCACCCAAACCATAAGATCCACATTCTCACTTCTCAGGCAAGTCACTGTTACATGAGCATGAGGAGCTGGGTGTTCCTGCTGGACAGTTGTCATACCAGGATGAGCCCACAGGAGGAGGAGTAGGTGAAGGCCAGGCCTTTATCAATGTAGGGCAGTGCAGTCAGGTTACTCTTAGGGGGCTGGAGAGCTTTCAATCACTATGAGTGAAACCGTGCCAAAACAGGAACTGATGAACACTCCATGACACCTAGTGGCATTCCATTATTCTGCATGTGTGCCCATCAGCATGGGCAACATAAAACTGTGGTTCACTGCTAAAAGGGACTTGGCTTCACTGTTCGCAAGCCAACCTAAAGCCTCTGCAACATGCTGCTGGCAAAAAGCTGTTGTCCTCTTGGTAGGTGGGCCATATGGGTCCTTTCTTTGTTTTTCAATTTCTTGAATTTCACCACTGTTTGACATTTAGCTGGATAAATCAACTCATCACCTCCGCCCAGTCAGCTTTCTCTCTCATGAGGTGATTTAGTGCTTATGCAAGTAAAGTGCAACGTCATGGGCACTCGAGAGTAATCACAGTCAGTCAGGAATGCTCCATTACTCCAAATGATGCCTAAAACAGCTAATCAATATACAAAATCTGTATACTGGATTTTCTAAAAACAAACATAGTGTAATAAGGTTTCTATGAATGCTGAGAATACAGTATTTCACTTGATGTAAATGTATGAACCCAAACTGTTTTGGCACTGTAGTTTCCTTGTGATTTATTAAATTGCCCCTTTTAATGATGTTTACAATGTGCAAGTATTTCAGTGGGTGAGTCCTAGAAGTGAACTCTGGTTTAAAGCATGTGTGCTGTTTGTATTTTTTTAGTTTATCTATTAGGGCAGGATGACACTACTTCAGTCCTAGAAAGATGATGTACAGGTTCTCTTTCCTTCCAAGCTCTTAATAACTTCAACTAGCTCATTATTGGCTTAATCTGATCACTTTGACCAACAACTCCCAGTACATAAGGTGCTGCTGTTTTAATGAGGCCTCGAAAACCTAAAAACTCATGATCTCTCCAAGACTGAGTTGGATTTAGACTCACCTAGCTATAAAACTCAGCAGCTACGTCATCTAAAAAAATAATTAATAGAATAACACTGGAACATTCATCTGAAGCTTGTATTTAGAGAAATTCATTTGTTTTACAATTCTATTCTATTCAGCACTGAGTGAATTTGAAGTTGAGCCAATAGGAGTCCAGTAGCCTTCTTTTGTAAAAACTTATACTTTTCACTTCATTTTCAATCAATGTTGATATCAATGAAAATACTTGAGGAGGCTTTGTAGCAGTGTGACACTCAATAATGAGGTGCCTGCCAGCCAATGAAATGAAGGCATAAAAAGTATGTTGTATGGTTGACATACTTGTGGTAAATGTTAAAAAATAAAAAAGTTAGAAAAATTAAAAACAGAACTGACACTTATGTAGTTCCCAGTATTTTTTTTAATTTTAAAAACACAACATTTGTTCTCAATAATAATAATAATAATTTATTAGTGATTTTCTGTAAGCCAAAAGCACTGTGCAATAGCAACCTAATTTTATAAAACAGTTATATACATTTTTATAAAACTGGATCAAGTTAAATATTTTAATGTTTGTGAAACTAAGAGTAAGATTACAATTGTAAATGCAGATAAGACAGAAATCAACCCATTTACTGTAGTAGACTGAGCTCATGTGGCTATGAAAACCTCATTAACAACACCAAACTCCTTACAATATATAACATTTTCATATACTTATACTATACATTAGTATTTCTAACTCAATTACCTTGTTTCCTTGATTGATGCTAATATTTAAATAATTCAGGTGGGTAGCTGCGTCAGCATGCGTAGGCTGCAAAGGAACAAGTAATAGGTTTATTCCATGCTGAAAAAAAGAAGAAAGAGAACACAACAAGAAGGCTCCACGGCCGAAACGTTGTGTTCTCTTTCTTCTTTTTTTCAGCATGGAATATACCTATTACTTGTTCCTTTGCATATTTAAATAATGTCAAGTGCATATATTTTTAAATAATTACTATGCTTAGTAAATAGATTGATATATTTTAGCACATTTTCTCCTCAAATGCTAATTTCAAATGTCTTATTTACAGTATATACTGTAGTTACCTCATATATACTGTTTGTCTATAAATACAGACATACAGTATATAAGACAGAAAAAACTACTCAAGGTGAATGACTATGAGTATGACATGCGACATGTGAATGTGGTGTTTGCGCACTAGTTCTCTTGATTTTATTAGACTGCAGCAATGTCACAGCTCAGCAAAGAAGAGAGGCTTTACACTCGAGGAATTCTGCTCGCAGAAGCCTAGCAGCATGAAGTCATTAGATGATTCAAGGTTCATCGACTACCTTCACAAGACTCTAGCAATACTATTAACTGACATGATGTGTGATTGACCCCGTCTCACTTAGGATCACCAGACTCAGAGGGACAACTCAAGGTAATGTATTGTATATCAGAATAAACACATCTGTCTCTGTGAAGGTCCTCAGTCAGGTAGATTTGAGCTTTAAAAGCAACTCAGGGACAAAAGCATTGAAGGGCACAGATCAAGAGAAGGGAATAAAAAACTTTCAAGGACACCTTGACCACAATGAAGTCAATCATTAAGAATTTGAAGGTATATCGTACCACCCAGAAACTGCATTGATTAACATGTCCCTCCAAACTGAGCAGACAGGCGAGGGGGAATCTGGATAGGGTTGCCACTGTGACAGACGAGACTAAATGGGATCCTTGTGGTATAAATGAAATGAGTTATGTCTAGCACAAACGTAAAACAACACCAGTCAATACCACCCCTGCTATGAAGCATGGTGGTGGCAGCATTATGTTATAAGACTGCTTCTTATCAGTAGAGATTTTGAAGATTGTCAAGTTCGAAGGAAAAATGGATGGAGCAAAGTGCAGGCAAATCGTAGAGAAAAATCTGCTTCAGCAACCCACAAGTCTAAAACTGGGACAGAATGTGCCTTTCGTCAAGGCAATGAACCACAGCACAGAGTCAAATGTACAGAACTGACACTTATGTAGTTGTATGATTTAACAAAAAGAATGAGCTTTTCTGAGTAGCCTTGACCTGAATCATGACTAGAATCTGATAGAAAGTCTGTGGCAAGACATGAAGACATGAAAAGTGTTGTCCATCAACAATTCCAAACCCTATTGACAAATTGGAGCAGGTTTTCAAAGAAGAAGGGGCAACTATTGCTCAATCCTGATTTATAAAGTTTGAAGAAACCTATCTGAAAAGACTTAAAGCTTTAATGGCTACCAGTGGTGTGAAATATTGACTTGGGATGGAGAGCACTTACAGTGCCCAGAAAGTTTGTAAACACCCTAGGTTGGTCCATATTCTTGAACATTTTAGACCTACCACTAATAAGGTCTTCACAAAAGTCTTAATAAAAGATTAAGCTAACCTGATTAAAGGTTTAATATAAACAATGAAGATCTATTTGGATAATTTAATCAAAATATGATCCACAATTTAAATATCCTTCTGTGAACAGGTATGTGCAACCTTTGATTTAGTGACTGGTGGTAGTTCCTTGAGCAGTATTGACTTCAACTTGATGTTTCCATACAGTAAATAGTTGAACTATTTATCAGTCTCTAACAACAACTTGACCCTTTCTTCTTTACACAACTGCTTCAAGTTGGTGATATTTAAGGGTTTACCTTCATGAACAGCTTCGTTTAGGTTATGTTATAACCTTTCAATAGGGTTTCGGGGTTTATGCCTGGACTTGGCCAATCCAATATGTGAAAATTCTTCTTCTTCAGCTGTAGTGGTAGATTTGCCTGCCTGTTTAGGATCCTTATCTTGCTGCATGACCCACTTTTATCTCAGCTTCAGCTGATGAATGAATGGAGCATCATTCTTCTTCACAATTTGCTGATAAATGCAGAATTCATGGTTCCATCAATGATGGCAAGCTGGCCAGGTCCTGAGGCAGCAAAGCAAACTCAATCATCACACTTCCACAGCTATGCCCGATGACTGGGACGAGGGTCTCCTGTTGGAAGGTGGCCTTTAGTTTTAGTGAAGCTGGTCTTTCATTTTTCGACATGCAAAATATTTCAATTTATACTACAATTTAAATGTTCAACTTTTGTCTCGTCTGTCCAGAGAATGTTCTTCCAGTAATCTTGAGGATCGTCCTGGTGCTCTTTGGCCAAAATAAGATGGGCACTGTTTTTAGAGAGTAGTGTTTTTTTCCTAGCTATCATCCCATTAAAGTATTTCCTGTTCAGTCTTTTCCTGATGGTTAAGGCATGAACTCTGGGCCAAGCCACAGCACGAGAGGTCAGCTGATCCACAGATTTCACTCTGGGGTTCTTCCTGGATGGTTTTCTGGGTTGCTCAAGGGAGATCTTGGCAGGATGACGGGTCCTGGGAAGAGTCACTGTGGTCTTGAATATTTTATGGGCTGTCAGAGGACGGATAGATCCCCAAATGTTTAGAATTGGTTTAATTTCCCTCTCCAGCCTGGTGAGCATCAACCGATCTCTTTTGATTGTGAAGTGTTTCCACTTACCCGTACAATGATATTTTAGGGACTTCTGCAAGGCACTGTACTGTACATAGTTTTGTTGAACATTTTGAAAAACTGCCCCATAAAAGTTAATAAGATTTCAAATCCAAAATACACAGTGAAGCTGGTAAAAGGACCTTCGGCTGGAAATATTGTAAGCTATCATCAGTGAAAAGGTTGTTCAAAAATCCATAGAAAAACAGGAACAGTCTGGACACATTAGCTTCCTTTTTGCTTTAATAACGTGTGCTGTGCCGCAGTGGCCTTGACATACATACAGAGGTAAGTAATATACAAAACAGTTCCGAAGACCAGCTCCATCTCAGAAATAAGAGCAATTTTACACCGAAACATTTGCTACTTGTGCTTCCATGGCAGGACAGCAATGTAAATGGAGAATGTCAACAGACATTGTAGACATTTTCTTCAGGAAAGACACAAGTATTTAGGGAGGTTAGGGAGCATACAGTTCCTATACGAAGGTCCACGAATGGACTGCTACATGGAAATAAGAGTGATACACGTCAGACACTACATAAACCATAGACATGGATAGACGAAGCTAGAAAATTAATCGTCTATTGTGCTTTCTCAGTAATGTTGTCATTGGAACAGATGTTACATTTTCACGAAGTTATCAACAAAGTTTCATCAAACCGAACAAGCTGATAAAGATGGAGAGAAAGCCCAGTGCACATGGAAAAATGAAAAGACTACCAAACCCTGAAAACCAAGAAACCTGTATTATTTCATGTCGAAAAAAGAGACATTTAGCAGAAAGAAATGCTGAGCCTAACTTGTTAAAATATTTATGAAAATTGGGGGAATTCATTTTTATGATATTTTAAGATAGTTATTTCCTCTAAGTAGGTATTAATTAAAGCTTTTTTAAAGAAACTTTAAATCACACACAAAATCACTCATTTAATTGTAGAAACCAAGGCAGTGCTGCAGCAAGCTTGCTGGTGATAGATAGAAGAAAAGAAGTACATTTGCACAGTGATTGCATTTTTACTTCTGTGACTTACACCAGCAAGGTCCATAATTCACTCTTTCGTTCCCACCGATTCAGACCTTTAAACCTACAATTTTGAAAATCAGGGCTGTTTCCAGATTTTTTCCTTTACATTTTCTTGATCGATAGATACTGTCCTTCAATTCAAAGAGGTTTTATTTTATGTTGCACAGTTCTGTTGTGTCTAATTCTTATAAACTGACCAACAATGACTTGGTGTGTTTCACCTCTGTCTAGGTCCACTCTGAGATTCGACATCCCAACACAATTTATCCTAGTTATGAATTATTTTGTTCCATTTTCTTGCCTGACAAAACTGTATCACTGGATACTGCACTAATCTATCATTGACATACTGTAGAAACCTTTGGACTGTACTTTCATGAAGGACATGAGAGGCACAAGTTAAAAGCGTAACCCTCTTTGAATGAATTCAGGTCATAGTAGAATACAGCTGGGAGAAAAGGAGCCAGAGGTATCTGTATGCAGTGCAGCTCTACTGTTGCTATTAGAATTGCTCTACTCACTACAGCACCTGGAACAGAATTTATCTAGCATATGGGTAAACCTCTGACAGCTAGACCACATCCTCCCCGGTGGCAGTGAGGTGTCTGAAGGTAACAATACAAAGGAAAGAAAAACTGTACATACGCAATAAAAACTCTTTACATACAAAAATTCTCCCGGGTCAGTGCATAAATGTATTGTTCATCCTAAAATCACACAATTATTTTTCTTTTCGTCTGCTGGTTCCTATTTTCTGTTATCATGCAGCCGTTATATACAAATGTATTTTGTACTGTACTGGCAACATGGAAAGCTGAAAAACACTGAAGGTAATCAATAAGCTTGCACTCTGTTCCCTTAACTGGGGGCAGAGCAGAATGCCCCATCTAGCTTTTTATTTAGGGGTAATTCAGGCACGAAAGGGTGAAGAGGGAAGCTGATGCCACGTTTCCTCACAAAAGATTCTGAACATGGCACATGTCGTTAATCTACAGGCTCATTTTCATTTGTTTCCATTACGTTGCTTCAATTTATTTGTTTTAGTCAACAGATGGTTTCAGTCTGACGTGCAGATAAAACACTACAGTTCTACACTCCAGTCTAGGAGAGACGTTTGGGTCAAAAGCATTAAAGTGTAATTATTTTATTATGTGGTGAAAACATGACTGCTCCAATGCTAATGCATGGGTCATTAGAAAGAAGTGGTGTTTTTTTAAGTTTTAAGGCGGGCGCTAGGTGCAAGTTACTTTTTAAACATCTGGACTAGGGTATACTGCATAGACTGTGGAAATTCCATATTACATAAAGAGGAGATGTGCATCTCTCTCTGTGAGGCTGTATTTGTGTAGTAGTTTCAAACACATTAATCACTTAGGTTTAAATGTACTGTATGTACTGTCCCTTCATCCTCCAAGTCCATGGAACATTCAGTAATCAATATCATTGAAGTTTTCTGAGAATCCAGAATAAGCAACTGTTGTTTCTTCCAATTCTGGGAAAAGAAATAAGATAATGAATCAACACGAATGTCATGTTTTAGCATTTACATGGATTCAAATGAACATATTAAAGTAATGGTTTCTTTCTTACCGGTTTACATTTATTGTAACAGAAATCATAACACATGATTAGTTTAAGGTATAAAAGGCTATATATTACCCTCAAAAACAGCTGGAGTCCAAAATATATTTGAAGTGACAAAGTAATTTTTCCAAATTCAGACACTTTTGGTTAATTGTTTTAAAAACTATAGGTTTCTTTGACACTGAATGACTAGTAAAAGAGTTGTTCTATTACATCAATGAATGACATTTTCTCAACTTCCAAGTTAAGCAGGATCAAAAAACCTCTGTGATCAAAGGCTTGTGTTTTCCAAAATATGGCACCCCCTACACAGAAGACATCCTGACACACAGTCTGGCTTGAAATGTTTTAATATTTTGGCATTTCTGTGTACTGCTGACCTTGTTTTAGCAGCTCAAATGCTGATGAGGATGGTGCTGAACCAGCACCCACTATCTTTGTGCTAATACCCGGGTGGAGGTACACTATTAATAAACTGGGAGCGGTCAGCTGCATGGTGTCTAGTGTCCTACTCCCACATATTTACATGTTAACATCTTAACTTAAGCTGTTTCGTTTTCTCTCTTGCCTTAAATGTCTATATTTAAAATGCTAAACATCAACGGGATCGTATATTTTTTACTAAAACCTTGCTGGAACAAATTGTGTGTTGTGCACTAATTCTGGGACAGATTAGGATTTTTGGTTTTCTGCGTTGTGTTTCTTTTCTTCTCCTTTCAGCATGGAATAAACCTTTAGTTGTTCCTTTGGAGCTTATGCATGCCAACACAGCTACGTACTTGAACTAAAATTATCTATATGTAACACATAAGGTCAAAAGCTGCACATACCCTTCATTTCGGGTTCCCTTTCTTGTGTAAAGATAATTTAATATTTAATTTATGTGGTGGCGGCAAAAAAAAATGTATGCCCCTAGTTACAAGCAAATGCAAAGTTTTGCAGAAGGGGATGTACATTTCCAGGGGTATTGAATTGGATAGGACAGCACATAAAAACGTGAGATTGCACTGTTGGGAAACTTCTAGAACTAAAACACTATAATGAAGTTCTCAGAGTACACAGTAGCTGTATTAAAGCAAGCAAACCTCTTCATTAAAAGGGTGCAATGGTGAAGCTCATTAGATTAAGTAAAGAAGTCCTCCCTAATTTTAGGTTTGCCATTTTGTATTGCTTTCCCGCATTAACTATTTGAGTAGTTCCGTCTAACCAAAAATAAGACAGAGAAGTGTCGCAATTTGACGAGTGATCTTTACTGGGGTGACCCACTTGGCTGAGGAGAGCAAGAGCCCGTTGGTAAGGATGAGGATGAAGACGAGGTGGAGCAACAAATGTGAAAACTAAAGAAGTGAGTCAACAAGAAACTGGATATTTACATGTGGAAGTGGAGAAAATTGGGGTCTGACATGACATTGATTTGAAACCCCATAGGATGTCACTGATGTGGAACTACATTAATAGATCATTAATAAAAGAATTAATGAATCTCTGTAGCAAAATAAATTAGGTGACGGTAACGCAAAATTTAGTAAATTCTGAATTAAGCACAAAATCCTGATTTTTTTAAAAGTACTGTATGGTCGCCTTTTGTTGCAAACCTCTGTTACCATGGGCGAGAGCAAGAGTGTGTTCAAAGTGCGATGTGAAGCAGCCCTTCCTGCTCACTAGTCACTGTAATTTAATGTAATGTAATGTGATGTGATGTACGAGCAAATAGGTAAAGGATGTGCAGCAGATAACCTAATAGGGCCTTTTCATTTCAACAGAAGATTGGTTGCCTGGTTATGAATTGCAGAATACGGCACTGTGTGTATCTGGAAATCTCGACTATTTTGTGAAGCAAATTGGACGTTTTACACATTACTTTGTACATTTTACTTTCTTTGTGGTTTGAAATGCACTCATTAATGACGATTCTTTCTAACCCTGAGTTAAAAATTAGTGTTGCAGTTCCCCCTTTGCGCTGCCTGAAAATACACATGTTTTAATCTAAAACCTACTTTTAATAGAATGTAGTAAAATTGTAAATCACTGATCTTAGCAATCATGTTTTTTGCTCTCATAAACCCATTGATAAAGCTAATATGGGCAGTACACAGCTAATATTAAACATTGTTTAATATACAGTATTAGAATCTGCAACATGAATTTCCTGATCTAGTTGTATCTTAAAAGATACAGCTAGAGCTGTCATATATAAAGCTCTTTTAGTAGATTTATTAGTATCTGAGACGCAAGGACAAAAAAATATTATACTTCATGATGTTCTAATACTTAAAGACAATCACCTTTGCACGGTCCTTTTTGAAAACCAATGTCATCAATAGCAATATCGCTTCTTATTGATATTCCCCGGATTGCTTCAAAAACAATCTATAAAAAGAGTAATGTAACATAAAAAGTTAGTTCCTAAAATTTCTCTGAGAAATTCTACATAAATACTATCAGGCACGACACTTTTTCTTAATATATAGCTAGTAATAATTGTTAATATATAGCTAGATATTTCCCCACATACTGACTAGAGGCATTACCCTAATAAAAAATGCTTAAAGTGTACTAAACAAGTCTCTGTAAACAGTGTAGTTAGAAACGTGAAGAAATTGTTGCTTTGCTTAAGCATCACAAATCTAAAACATTTCCAAAGTTTAAATACAGAAAATGCTGAATTGACAGTATATACATATTTATGTAATACACTGTAAAACAAAGATACATTTAACTGCTGTATATATTTCAACTTGAAAGTACAGGTACATCGATAAGAGCACACGGAAACCAAACGCTCCAACATCCTTGGAAAAATTTCCACTCACCTGGTGATTGTGATCACACTCGTATTCCACCATTCCCTTCATCCAAGAGATGCTCTGCTCGCCTCTCCTCCTCCAGAGGAGCGTCTCTCCTCTCTCCCAAGCCTTCTTCAAGTACACACTCAGCAGGCCGGTGCCTGACCCATACATGTGGTAATAAAACACCAGGCACTGCCGATTAAGAAAGCCGCGCAGCTCCTTTGACAAGAGACGGGCGTGGTGCCCAGGAACCATGTGGGAAGCTTCAATGTACATGTAGTATCCTGGAAAAAGGGTCACATGTCTGCGTTAATTGAGTGTCTGTTTTTAGAGGTCTGTTTTGAGAAATAAAGGAAATTATTTCATATTACAGTTTGGTTAAACTAGTTCTAAAGCTACAGAAGGACAAAACAGAGAGGTGACTGTCTTAGTTCAATACCGGTTTGTTGGTCTGTTTAAGAAAGAAACTTTACAGGGGCAATGTGTATCCAACAATTATATAAATACAGCAGATTATCCTGACCTTTTTTAACCTTTTGTAACTGAAATAACAAAACAAATGAGAATAACGTGAAGCAGCTGACTCACCTACCCCTGAGGTGTGATCTCCTTTAGGTCCAGTGTAGGATGTAGGCGTCTGTCCTCTCAATCGAAACCAGTTTCCTCTGTCGTTACTGTCCTGTGTGTATCCACAGTCATCCACCTCGAAATTACATTGTCCGGGAGCCATAGGGAACAACTCTGCAAGACGTTTACCCATTAATGTTCCAGAATGAGTCTTCACAATTCCTTCTGATGCTTCTGCCCCTTCAGTGAAGAGCTGTGACCCTTTTTTGTTTTTGAACTTTCATTTGGATTAAACATTCCTCATTTCTGTTTCATGTAGGGTATTGGAATCATGTCTTCTTTGTTATAATATTGAACTGCCATGGGTGGTTGCTTGATTTATTGTTTTACTACAATGATTAGATAATCTTCTGTGTGAAAGGGGGTTGGGTTCAGACAAGATGGATACTCTTGACTGACCTACATTCCCCAGAATGCCACAGGGAATGTATTTCAGACACAGTCTGTCTGAACCTACCGATCTCCTGGGCTCTAGTTTAATCAAGCGAGCACACAGGAGAAATATTGATTTATTTTAACATAAAAGATGCTGAGTTGCATGGTGTAACCATGCTCTTTGTACCTGGAAAATGTAAAGACAGATCTCCAAATTCTACCCTTACCCTTACTATTAAAATAATATTCATTGACTTGTTTCCTGAAAAGAATTCCTTGATGAGTTTTGCTTTCTGAAGGTAGAAACACATAGAAATGCATTTTAGCCGTGTCAGGGGAACACAAAAAAAGAGATCCTGGAAAACATGAATCACAATTTGTGGTGGCGATGACCCATAACAAATAAATATTGGAAGTATAAAGGATATTGGGAGTATAAAAGCATTACATTTACTTTAAGAAACAGGTACAGAGTGGTTTTATTTTTAAAAATGCCTTACTCAGCAGTGCTTCAGCAAAACCATATGTCTTGAAGGAAACAAGCCTGTTGTGTTAGTAATGAGGAAGGCAGAAGCACTGTTACCAGATGTCTCTGACAATACAGAATGAGTAAGACAAGCATAAGCAGCTACCCTATTCCCTTAGCCTCAGACAATGTATTTAAAAAACTCCTCTCTGAATTAATTATAGTAAATAAACTAGATTACAGAGCTGTCTGATTCAGAATTAAATTCAACATTTGCTGTTTTTTTCAAACAAAATGACTGTGCATTACAAATGTGACGTTTGGTTCTTTCATAACCCTAAAGAATGGTTGATGAAAAATAAATGTATTTTTGAGAATATCTTAGAATTCCTTAAAGCAATACAGTGTGTTTGTGTTCAACTTTACCTCGCAGTAACAAAACAGATTTAAAACAGACTCTATCTGCAGATTGTTTGTAGTGCTGATACACACTCTTAGTCAGGGTCTTATTATTTTACAGGGTGTTAAATTATTAGCCTAAAGGTTTATGGCACAACAGTGAGAATTGCTATATCAATGTACAACAAGATTTATCAAATAAACATAATCGTACTTATTCTTGTATCTGTGCTGTCAGTTAGGCTATTCTTTACGTTGATATAAAAAAATCTGTTTTTTACAGCATAAGGAAACAATAAGGAAATGTCTGAGATTTTATCTGTTTATCTTCCTGTTTTAAAGGAAACAGTAATGTATGAAAACCTGGATAATTACTATTAGATTCTATAAACAGCACATTCCATCTCAGATCTTAGAACTCAGTGATGTGCTGTGAGAGGCACCAACTATCAGTCCTATGCTTTAATAAATCATGATAATATTGATCATACCTGCTGAAACTCTGCAGTCTCCAAGACTCACAGTGACGTCATCAAGTGCCAGCAATCCACAGTCCCAGAAATTCTTACATATGCTGACAAAAACCACCTGAAAAAGAGGCCAGCCGCTTAATATAATTCTGTGATAAGATGCCACGATCTGCAATACAGCATAAAAATGTGCCTTGAAAAGCACCTACTGTATCTGTTCATTCATTGGTTACTAATGACAAAACCTTTTGTCTTCCTTATGAAACGTACATGCACCCATACTGTGAAGACTATTATTTGTTGTTTTGCAGAAACCAAAATATGAACCACATGCTTAGGATCTGGGCCTGGGCTGTACATCTTTTGAAAACTTCAAAGTTTGTACTGTATGTGAATTGCACCACATTTCTATCACCCAGAGACCGAACATGGTCAAGAGAAGAATATGGCACTCTTGATATCAGAATGAATACAAAGTTAAAGGGATGAATAAATGATAGGTTATAGGAAAGGGTACTTTTCAGGTCTATTACAAATCATTTGGCTTCTGGTAGAAAGTGAACTCCTGAGAATTGTCATCAGAGGAGCTCCTTCTCAACTCCAGTTCTTCAGTGACACTAAAAGTAAAAACCTTTTGAATTTGACACATTCCTTTACTGCCGGGGTAAACGTTTTCCCTCAGGAGGAGAAAGTTTCTCATACATTAAACATTGAATGTTTTTACACTTCATTGTGATCCGGTTCCTGTTTGTTAAAGAAAGCACTCAGCTAGAAAGATGTCTGGATTCTTATTCTCAAAGGTGGAAAGAGCCGCGTCTGACTGAGCGCACAAGCAGGTCTCGGGCAACTGCGAGGTGGGGAGCATCGCAACAAAAGGAAAAAAGGAAGTCAAAAAGAAAAAGAAAGACACAAAGGAAACCAACGCTCAGGGCAGCAGAGTGGCAGCTGAAAACGAACAAAGAGTGC